CAGGACCCCCACAGAGGGCTGCAGAGACCAAGCTGTTCAGACTGGAGAGTGAGGACAGTGCTCCAGGAAGGACAAGTCCAGGGAGAAAATAGAATGTTATTGACTACCTCGGCATTTTGGAAAAGTACATCCACAGTGCACAGAACAGTGTAAAACTCTTAGAGAGATACCAAAAAAAGCTAAAGAAAAGTCAAAAATTAAGTACAGAAACAAAAAAGTTTTACACATAGTAAATACTATTTAAATGGTCACAATGGAAACACCATAGAGGTCGTAACATATATTATACACATTACATATACATACATGTCATATATTATATAGACTAATACAACCAAGAACAATGACGACATACATTAGGAGGAGAAGAGGATGTGATGGGCGCTAGGATGCTGGAAGATGGCAGTTCGAGCGGCTGATTAGCTTAAACCTTCACCAAATAGGAAAACAAAATATCCGTGAAGATGCATATTTTTCTGGAGGATGGTTGCAGAAGTCCATTTTTTTTAGGAACACAAAGGGAAGTACAAGAAGAAAGAGCAAAGGGCTGAACGTGGCATATGAGGAGTGGGTAGGCCTTTGGGGCATTGTACGATTACTTAAAACAATAATTACTTCTCACTATGTGCTGCAGTATTTTGACTAAAGTATTTTATATGCCCATAAACTATGCTGTATTAAAGAGAATAAGGCAGGTGTGTTAAATGATTCCCACATGACAATAACATGGATGATAAGGAGACTCACCTGCTGGTTCAGCTCAATGTTCGGCTGAGTAAACAGTACTTCCACTATATCTGAAAAACAAATGGAAAAAAACTTTCTTAAGGATGAAAAATAAAAGCCTGACCAAAGTAGGCATAATAATTTTAAAAGGGAAAAATCTTTAGAAGTATCTTCAGGAAGCTTTTCTTATCACAAATTACTCAAAATGTATGTAAACAAATGCCTAAGAATCTAAAAAGTAGAATTATTCTGGAGAAAAGATGTTTTTCAGATACTTTTGGGTTTTGCATTTTTCCACATGACATCAATTCTAACATTAATTTTACATTTGCTAGAATACTTGGTATTCATATAACTAACTTCTGTCAGGTAAAATAAGATACGCTTCTTTTGAAAGATGGTCACAGATTTTCCTTTTACTATGTTATTTAATTCATTGGGTTCACTGCTTCTCACTGTTCTAGGGTATATTTCTTTGTGTTGAAGAGAGAGGAAAGAAAGTGGTAGATATTCAACACGGATGAAATATATCTATTTAATTTGTTATTATTACTGATTATAATAGAGGAAACACCAGTTGAATCACCAACTTAAGCGAATGCTGTCCTTCTGAATCCAATAGTTTGCAATACAATCCTAAAAGTGTACTCTGGGAAAAGCTAAGTTAGGGCAGTCAATTCTGCTTTTTTTTTCTCTAAGTTTAGATAGTGGGTTTGTTTTTCAATTACTCATGTTTTCTGGTGACCTTGCTAAGCCTGAGAGAGGGAAGGAAGTTCCCAGTCTTTCAAGTGAGAGAGGTCCATGGGGTGAGGCTCTCTGACCACATTCAACCCACTGCTGTACAGAGCTTCCAGGAAAAAAGGCTTTTGTTTGGCTGAGGTTCTAAAGAACTCAAAAGAGAAGCGCCTACATTTTTTTCTTTTTTTGTTTTTTGTAAGTCTGGCTCCCTTAGGTGAAACACATTTTCAGCAGCATAGAAATTTAGAATGACAAACAAAATGTAATACCTCTGTGACCTCCATGACAAGCCCAGTATAAGGCCGTGCTTCCAGCTTTGTCCAGGCCATTAACACCCACTCGGTTGTCCAAACACTCCCTCAACCAGCTCAAGTTGCCTGAAAGAATTTTACATTTATAAAAACACAAGAAAAAGGCTTTCATTGTTTGTTTTGCTTTTAAATCAGTCTCATTCTCCATAAATTTCCAGTTCTAATGGATGAATCAGTCAGTGCTAAATTAAGAGTTATGCACTAATGCCTCCTTATTTATTAATGGGTAGCATTAACATCAATTTTTAATGATCAGTTGATGGGAAGAGTTTTACTTAAGACAAGGTCTACTTTGTAAAAGAAAAAAAAAGGCACACTTATTTTGTTTATTTTGTGAAATCCTGGAAGGCGGGAGAAAAAAAAACAGTTATATCTGTAAACAAGTAGATAATATTCATATTCATATCTAAAATACATCTGAGTTCTTAGAAGAAAAGAAACACTAAAAAACCTACTCAAAATTGCTACTTTGGGGCCAGCCAGTGGTTAAGGGCCATGGGTTCCACATGGCCTACTACGTGGACTGAGTCCAGGACCCAGTCTAAAAAATTAGGCAGGAGCATTTACGTGTACGTTCAAAATACTGGAAGAATGGAGAAGGGATTGCAGCATGGTCCTTCCCCCAGGGGTGCTTTCTCATTTCCCTCCTCTCTCTTTATCCATCTCTCTCCACTGAGCTACCCACCCAACAGCAAATTTAAAAAGGAAAGAAAGAAAGAAAAACTGCTGCTCTTATACGCTAAAGTATTGAGTTGTTGAAAAGTGATGACTTTTTTTCTGTTTTTCCATGTAAAAATGCATTTATACTTTTCCAACAAGCCAACAAAGAGACTAACCTAAAATACTCAGGCTACAGCACAATCTAACGGGTCGTCTGAAAAGACATGACATGTTTTTCTATGCAAAAATGCTTCTTGACTTTTCTGACAATCCAACAATGTGCAAAGAATTTTTTAAAAAGCAGTTTAGTAGTTCTTACGTAAATTCTAAAATAAAAACTTCCTTTTGTACATTTAATACATCAAAAAGATCTAAAAAAGAATGAAATAGAGCTTACTGGGGCTCTAGAAAAATTCCCCATTATCTACAGCAGGGTTTCCCCCACAGTGGCCCTGTTGGAGTTGGAGAATTTGGGGTGGTGGAGGCTATCCCATGTACTAGAGGACATTCAGCAGCATCCCAGGTGTCTCCCCAAAAAGCCCCCTCCAGTCAGGACTGTCAAAGCAGTTCTGTATATTGCCAAAGCTCCTCAGAGCTTGTGGGGGAACCAATCACCCCTGATTGAGAACCACTCACCTACAGGGAAAAGCCCAAACAAGGCTCACCATGGACCATGGCTCTTCCCCACTCATCCCTGCCACAGCACTCTCCTAAATGCTGTACCACTGGACAGCCTCCACCCTCCTGCTCTTCAGTACACTGAACTCCACAGCAGTTGTACTCAAACATTCCAGCCACCATGTGTCTCATACCATATTTTGATGATTTGTCATGCTGTGATGTTTCCCTTGCTAGCCTTTTGGCTTCGGAAGTCATAAATCATGGCTTTCTACTCCTCTTTCCCCCAACACTGAGCACAGGGGAGCTAAAGTACTTGGAAGTTTTTGTTGACTGACATTTTAAAATTAAAAATCACACTTATCACTCTAGGGTGATAACAAGTCAGAACAGAGACTGCCCAGAACAGAGACTGCCCAGAACAGAGACTGCCTTTGGGGAGGCAGAGATTTAACTGGAAGAGTGCACTGGAGGACAGAAATGTTCTAGATCTGGATCTGGGTGTTGGTCACATGGGTGTAGGCATTTGTCAAAACTCATCACACTGGAAAACTAAAATCTGGGTGTTTTACTGAATACCTCAATCAGACAGAATCACACCTACCTCTTTTTGCTGCTTCGTGCAATGGGTTGTCAATGGATTCTGCCTGCTCAGCCACTAGAATGGAAATAAAAAGTGCAGCCCCAATGTTAACGTGTCACCCACATTGTGATTCACAGAGGCCACTCACTCACATGGTCCCCTAAGTTAATGAGTACCAGAGTCTTGGATAATACAGCTTCGTCACTTACAGTGGATTGAAAAGATAAAGTAGCAGAAAATCATACAGATGGTTCCTGCTTAAAAAAAAAAAAAAGCTAGATTAGAGACCAGCAGATGATGTAATGGTTACATTGCTGGACTCCCACATGGTGGACTGTGGTTGCCGTCCCAGACTTGGCGGCTTAAAACATGCTGGGAACATGTGCATGTGTTCCCAAGATCCCATGAGGATAATGGAGCAGAAGGAATTGCGGCATAGCCACTTCCTAGGGGGCTGATTTCTTGCTTTCTGTCTCTCTGTCTCTCTGGTGAGCACATGCGCCCCAGAGCAAAAGTCTTTCTCTTTAAAAAAAGAAAAAAGAAAGAAAAGAAAAGCTAAATTTGGGACTGGCGGGTGGCAGGATGGTTGAGGCACTGGACTCCCACATGGCAAACCACGGTTTGAGTCTGGGACCTGGAAGTTTAGTTTCTCACTTTCCCTCTTTCTCTTTGGTCAAATTAAAAAATAAAAAATAAAATTAAATAAATAATTCTTAAAAAAAAAAAAAAGAAAAAGAAAAGCTAAATTAGGTGTTAAATGAAACCAAACTAAGCAATAAGGCAATTAAAATAAGAATTAACTAGAAGTGACACAGGAACGCAGGGGCAGGGGGTGATCGTGCCCACACTCACAGTGAGACACGGGTTCTTGTCCCATGCTCAGGAAGAATAAGAGTCGTGGGCACAGAAGAGTAAGTACAGCAAAACAGGGAGTTTATTGCAGGAGAGGGAAGGAAAAACAGCTCCCAAAAAGGGAGGAGAATGGGGTGCCCAGGAAGAACTGTGGCAAGGGGTTTTTATTTGGGTCAGAAAGGGCTTTGTCCAGGCTTGTTTTAAGTGAGGCTTGTGCATGCACTTCCCTCCAGGAGGCAAGAGGCACATGCTGGATGGGTCCAGTTATTCTCCTCATTTGGAGTAGGAGTTTCTTTTTCTAGGAGCTTTGGGCCATGGAAACCATTATCTTATCCTCTTTCTGGAATGTGGTGGGGCCTGGAAAAAGCCTTTGTTTTAGGTCTAGGTCATGCTGCCTAGGTCAGTCACTGAGCAACTGCTGCAAGAGATCTCTCAAAGAGCGAGCAGCAGAGCTGCTTTGTCTCCCTCTCAAAACTTAGCCATTTTGTGATTCCATTTTGGGCCTATACCCTAACTATATTTTTAGGGTCCCTGTTTCCTACATTAAACATATAAACAAAAACAAACGCAGGAATTAACTGTAAGTATAAATAAAATACACCCACAACCTACATACTAATTTACTCAAGTATTTAATAAACAAACACAAGCACAAAAATGCAAACGAAAGTAATCTAGGTGGCCTTGTGTGTGTACATGCAGGAGGCCCATGAGAGGGAATTAATCTGCTTCCTGTATTCACAAAGGACAATCAGCAAACATTCCTGCCTCTAAGGAAGGTGTGTCCAGAATCAGTGGGAGTGACCAAAGAAAACTGCTGTTCAAATACCGCAGGCCCACCCCTCCCACCACTAAAGGGTTGTAACAAGACACTCCCCTGTCAGGAGGAACTCAGCAGAATCACATTTCTCAGCTTCCCTGACCAAGGCTAGGAACAGAGTGCACCATAAAGGTGTATTTGGGATTTCAAAGGCTCAGTGAGATAGCAGACATGATTAAAGTACTGTTTGGTAAAGAACAACACCACTCTTAAGACCAACTCAAGCAGGACCCTTGCGCTGGGCTCCAGGCCTAAGCCCTCAGTCCCTACCCCCATTCCCAAGAGCTTTGAAATACCTTCCCAGAAATGTTCTAAGTCCCTCTCCAGTGCTTGGAACTGACCCTGATGCCAGCCCTATCAGTCTAAGGATTTATCTAATACTACTGCCAAATGCAATTTTAGATGTGATCTAAATCCAACCCTCTCAACTGCACAGAGGGGAAAACTGAATCCCAGAGGTAGATGTCTCAATTAAAATGCCCTGTTATGAGCCAGCAGGTAGTATGGTGGTTGGGCTGGAATCCCACATGGCCCACCATAATTCGAATCCCGAACTTGGCGGCTTGCTTTCTCCCTCTCTCCAGTGCCCTATAGCAGATTTAAAAAATAACAATAAATAACTTTTTGTTTTAAATGCCTTGTTATTAGAAAGAGTGAAATCTCAGGACCCTTGAGTACCACTCCTGTGCTTTTCTAGCATTTACTCTGCAGATTTCTACATAAGTGTTTTTTATTTATTTATTTATTCATTTATTTTGGAGAGGTTTTTGCTACAGGGCGCATGCACTCTCCAGAAAGAGAGAGAGAGAGACAAGAGAGACAGGAAGGGAGAAATCACTCCCCAGGGGGGATGGCCACACTGCAATCCCTTCTCCTCCATTTTCCTCTCGGGATCTTGGGCACACACAAAACCGCGCCCAGCATGGGTTTAAGCCACCGAGTCTAGGACTTGAACTGCGGGTGACTACATGGGAGTCCAGTGACATAACCATTATGCCAACTGCTGGTCCCATAAGTGCTTTTTACCACTTTATCCCTCTTCCAGAAAACACTACTTCAGGGCAGGAGCCCTGTCTCATTGATCAAGCCCCCAACCCCGCAAACTCCAAGCATTATCATGTAATGAATGTCATGGCCCCAAACAAGAATGAACAAAGTGAACAAGGCTGAACAAGTTTGGGTCACCTCATCACAAAAGGAAAGAGCAAGGCTAAGAAATAATCTGTAAGATTTAGGTTAACAGTGTTTTAAAAAAGAAGAATGTTTGGGACCAGCAGTTAGCGTAATGGATATGTCGCTGGACTCCCACGTAGTCGACCGCGGTTCGAGTCCCAGACCCAGTGGCTTAAACTCACACTGGGTGCATGTGCATGCATGCCCAAGATCCCGAGAGGAGAATGGAGGAGAAGGGATTGCGGCATGGCCATCCCCCCTGGGGAGTGATTTCTCACTTTCTGTCTCGCTGTCTCTCTCTTTCTGGCAAGCACACGCACCCTATAGCAAAAACCTCTCAAAAAAAAATTTTTTTTTTAATTAAATAAAGTAAAACCACTAATAGTTTCTTTGGAAACCTTGAATTCTCTCATGAATGCTATAATACACTCTCTTAAGCCAAGGAGTCAGGCTCAAGCACATCTGAGTTTGTGATCATTTAATTAACAGGAGACAGAGGCTTATAGAGCAGGAAATGGCCTAGACTCCACTAATTTCTCAACTATAGCAGATACATGAAAGTGGGCAAAGTGTGGTCACAGTAAAGTCGCCCCAGCAACACTTACCATAGTTGCTTGGAATCAGTCCAGTCCTGCCTTTGGAGGTGCCTTTCCACCAATTGGTATCACTCTGGTGAAAGAAGAGTTAAATTAAGAGACTCCAAATCCAGCTGCATTCAATTACTTTTAAAACCACTTGACTCGGGGTCAGCAGGTGGTATAGTGGTTAAGGCACTGGGTTCCAATGTGGTCAACCACATCAGTTCAAGTCTTAGAGACCTGGTGGCCTGAAACTCAAGCCGGGCACATTTGCATGCATGCCCAAAATCCCGAGAGAAGACTGAGGAGCTGGCATGGCCAGCTCCCCTGGAGGGGGAGGATTTGTTACTTTCTGTCTCTCTGTCTCTGTTTCTCCAGCAAACACGTGTACCTTATAGCAAAAATCTCTCTCTTTCAAACAAACAAACAAAAATATATTTGGCCCACAGGATGTATGTATTCTACAGAATGTCCATAGGCACTGCCCACATTTATCAAGCTTTCTCACACCTTAGCTACGAGCTTCCATTTCCCTTATCGCTAATTACCAATTTATATGTAACCACGCAAACAGAGAATACACTTCATTATAGAGTCTCAATAGCCAAACAAATCAAACACAGATAATATGAAAGAGAAAAGAAAAACTTACATTATTTTTCAACTAGCTATGATTATTTTTTAATCCTAAGATAAATGTTTCTTAGCTTCAAGAACTTTTAGGGGGAGAGGGATCCTAAAAATCTTCTTATTTTACCTTAATTTGGGGCTTAACTTTTTCTTATAGAAAAATTTAAACTTACGTGAAAGTAGAAAGAACACTATAATTACCTACATATATCCATTTCCCAACTGCATGCATAGCCAGTACTGTTTCATATATGCCCCACAACTTCCCTCCTCTCCCACATTACTTCGAAAAAATTCTAGACATCACAGTATTTCATCTGAAAATATTTCAGCATATATTTACTTTTCCAAAGACAATTATAAGATCGTTATCACAGCTTAAAAGTTTTTCAACCATAATTCTTTAATGTCATCAAATATCTAGGTCAACAATCAAATTTCCTAACTGCCCCATATTTGTATCCAAATAAAGGTCATATGATATAACTGATGGATTTGCTTTTTAAGTCTCTTTTACCTTGGGTTCGCCCTCTATTCTTTTTTTTTTTTTTACCTCTTAAGTGTATGTGTTGACAAATCAGTTTGTCCTATAAAGTTTCTTATTTTTTTTTTAGAGAGATTTTTTGCTCACTGGAGAGACAGAGACAGAAAGTGAGAAATTACCCCCTGGGGGAATGGCCACACTGCAATCCCTTCTCCTCCACTCTCTTCTCGAGATCTCGGGCACACACGCACAAGTGCCCAGTGTGAGTTTAAGTCACCGGACCTGAGACTCGAGCCATGGTCAACTATGTGGGGGTCCAGCAACGTAAGCTTTATGCCATCTGCCGATCCCCTCTTCTATAAAGTATCTACCACTGTGGAATCTGCCTATTGTACTCCCATGTTATCATTAAATGTAGTCCTCTAATCCCATGTTGCTTATAAATTGATTGTTAATTCTGGAGGCTTAGTGATTCAATTCAACCTCAAATTTTTTGGCAAGATTATTTCAGAGGTAGAATTGAATTCTTCCACTGAGAAATACACAAAGTCTGGCCATCTATCTTTTTGTAATATTAGTAGTCATTGATAATCATTTATGGATCCACTTCATAAAAGATACCAAATTGGAGCCATTTTAGTCTAATTATTCTTTCTTCATTTACATTACTAGAATCTTTCTCTTTTTTTTAAAAAAAATCTCTTTAGAGAGAATTTTCTCACATCAAAGATGGTTACCCAAAGATGGAAGTTCTTAGATAAAGGCAGAATAAATATAGATTCTTTCCCTCAACACTTGTCAGAATAAAATGCTGGTTCCTTAGCATTGTCTCAGTGATGCTTGTTTATTTCAAGGCAACATGAGGAAGTCATAAATTTAAATACATTCATCGCTTCACTCTGTTGCTTGGCTTGATGCTTAAATCACTTTGATCCATGGGAACAACTTCAAGCTAGTTCCCAATTCTTCCCAAGGTGACCCTAATAGCCTTCAGGATCTTCCTTGTTTTCTAATAACAAGATATTCTGAGTTCATCTTGTACTTCTGCTACCCTGCACCTGGTACCAGCCATTTTTCAAAGAAGCCAGTTCCTTGGGAAACAATGGTTGATACCATGTTAATATTGGGCTGGTCATTTCTCCAAAACCCTTTCAAAAAACAAATCAGGGAATGTTTTTGGTTTGTTTCAGAAAAAATACATGATACTTCCAATTCAAATAAAGGACAATAGAATTTTTACCTAACTTGTTACTCTTACATCTGTATATCCTTTCTGCCATACTGAAAACCTAAGAATCAACATTATCAAACTAATGACTGATTTGCTCTAAACCACAATATACACGCAACAATCTCAGAATTTAGCAATATCAATATATCCACAACGAGATCATGACCGGCAGCTAAATTTACTTTGTTTTTACAGTTAATTTTGTCCATAAATATTCTACTAGGGATATTCAGTCAAACTGCAGGGCTTTAAAATCACTTAGAGTATTTCTCTGTGTGGTTATGCCAATTACTGGGGTACAACTGAGTGTATCTGATTTATCCTGCTTTAACCTTTTGAGGACTGCTTTTTACTATTTAATTTTCTAACTCTGTAAAAGTTTACATGATTCCAAAGTCAAATTTCTAAAACAAGGTATAATTTTAGATGTCTGTTTTCTATCTTTGTTCCTTCTAACCAACCTCCCTTCCTCCACATAGAGAAAACTATTTTTATTCCACATAGAATAACATTAAATTTTACTTTATGACTCATCCTTTGACATTTTATTTTAAGTTAGGGAAAATAGGTATATGCATCACCTCTCACCCTCTCTTAGATAAGTAAGGGCATACTATCTATATTTTTTCACTACTCATAATTCCATGTAAAGAGAGAACTCTCATTCCTTTTATACCTACATAATATTACACTTGTGAGTTTAACCAAAGTTTATTCAACTACAGACCTATTAATGGGCATAAAGGCTACTTCCAATCTTGTATTATGATAAATGATGCCAAAATGGGTATGTGTGTATATATATATATATACACACACACACACATGTTCATATATACCTAAATAATTATAATCATATGCCTACTTAAAATAAGTTTACATTCTACTGGATATATCATTAGTTCACATGGAGTGTTACAAAGTGTTAGCTGGGCTTACCATGTCAGTAATGTAGATGATATCACCTTCCTCAAAGTACAGTTCATCTGGCTACAATAAAAGAAAAAAAAAAAACTTTTTGATTCCATTTTTATTTTTTCATGAATTAAAATATAATGATTTCTTCAATTATTTAGATTCCAATTCCTAAAGTATCATTATAAACAATGTTGTTGTTATCTGCTTAAGTCAGCACATAACCATATAACAAAACATGACTGACACACTAATACGTGAAGAGAAAGCTGAATTGTTCCCATGATTAACTTTAATTAATCACATTATGACAAATAAAGATCACCCCACATTTTTTAGTTTTCCATAAAAAGTAAGACATTTTTATATCAAATAACAACATTAGGAAACTTATTCCTTAAAGAAATCTCAAATGTTTATCTATACAGTTATTCATAAAACAAATATCTAGAAGTAAAATCATGAAAATAGCTAGAAGCTTGGTTCTCTCATAAAAGAGGCATCAATCCTTAAAACACTTTAATATCAATACCTGCTGTTTCTTTTGAGAAAGCAGTATCTCTTCATCTTCAGAGAGAATGATTATTTCATGTCTAAGAATATTACTACATAATTTCACTATTAATAAGACTAAAGAGCTAAAAGACAAGCAGTAATTCAGCCCAGAGATGATAAGCAGCTCTGAGGAGTTAATTACATACACAAGTGCTCTGGCCTGTACCAGCCAAAGATCCTACAAACTCTCTGAATAAGGTCAGGCGGGTTCTTTATTTAAACACCTTTTTTTTTCCCATCAGTGCTAACATTTACAATGATTTTATGAATAAAAGGATTGCCTATTGAGAACAAATTTCAGATATTGGGAAATGTTGACATCATTAGGGTGAAAGAAAATATAAGACACAAAATTTCACATAGGATAAGACCATGATCATGCATAAAACATGCAGACGCAATTTCCCAAACTTTATATCACAAACACGTATCACTGTCATAATTTTGCTGAGAGGAAAATACATTCCAAAGAAAGACTTTGATATCTCTGATTCTAGTTATTATTCTACATAAATATAAGTTATGCTAGTGAAACAAATTATTTCATCCACTTAGTTTTCCATTTCATCTCCTCTCAGGGTCAGATGAGAGCAGTAAAAATGACTTTACTAATAACTTGCTTAGTTTAAAAGCTGACCCATAGGGGCCAGCAGGTGGCATGGTGGTTGAGGTCACTCTCACATGGCCAACTGCAGTTCCAGTCCAGATCTGGCAGCTTGAAACTCATGCTAGGCACAGGTTTGTGCATGCCCAAAATCCAAAGAGGAGAGTGAAGGAGAAGGGACTTTCTCTTTTTTCCTCTTTTTTATTAATTGCCAGAGGATGCATGCGTTGGCCACAGAGACAGACGGAAGGAGACAGGGAGAAAGCACCCCTCAGAGGAGTGTGGTCACGCCACACTCTCTTCTCCATTTCTCCATCCTCTTGGGATTTGGGGCACTCATGCACAGGTACCTGAGGTGTATCTCAAGCCACTGGGGCCAGGACTCAAACCACAGTTGGTCATGTAGGATCCAGCTCTTTGAACCACAAGGCTATGGGGGCAAGTCCAAGTCTTTTTCATAAAGTAAGTAGTAAGGGCTAGCCCCATTACACAATGATTAAGCCCTGTGCACAGTAAACTGGATCCCACATGACCAACACAGTTCAAATCCTGGCCCCAGCAGTTTGAAAAACAAACCAGATACATGCTCACAGCACACGTGTGTGTGTGTGTGTGTGTGTGTGTGTGCCCAAAATCTCAGCAGGATAGAAAAATGAAGAAAAAAGGGTTGTAACATGACCAAGACCCATGAAGGGTGAGTCTTTTTCTTTCTCCTGCTCTCTCTCTTTCTGACAAACGCACACATCTTGTGACAATTAAAAAAAAAAAAAAAGCAATAAAGTTGGAGGGAATGCAAGGTAACTGCTTAATAGGTGCAAGGTGTTATTTTGGGATGACAAAAATGTTTGGGATCTAGACAGAGGGGGTAACTGCACAATATAGCGAAAGCACCAAATGCCACTGAAACTGTTCTCTTTGAAACGGTTAATCATATGTTAATTTTATCTCTAGTTTAGAAATTAAAGTCCCAAACAGTTGAAACTCTTCATGTCTTTTAAGTAATTTTTGTCCCCTGTGGTTTGGTAAAGTGCATCATTTGGGAAATGCTACTAAGTACAGGCGTTTCAGGGCCATTTCGGTTTTCGAATTAATGACTGCTGTTCAGTAGGGGTTTGCCACAAGCCACCTATTAGGTCAGACTCGTTTTAGAGCCCAGGCAACGACAACGAGCGGTTGATTTCAGTCACGTAAAAAAGGTTTCAGTATTTTTCATCCTGAGTAACAGCAGTGGGCAGTTTATTCTCTTTTTAATCAATCGCTCCCAGACACAAAATATCCTACTCTCTGTAGTAAAATATCTCCTTCCAACGTAGAGGTAGTTTCTCCTAATCTAGCTAAGAAGGCAATCAATCAAATTCTTCAGACTATCAATAGCAGTACAGGGACCAGCAGTTAGTGTAATGGCTATGTCGCTGGACTCCTCAAACACGGTTCGCGTCCCAGACCCAGTTAAAACTCACACCAGGTGCATGTGCGTGCATGCCCAAGATCCCAGAGGAGAACGGAGGAGAAGGGATTGCGGCATGGCCATCCCCCCTGGGGGATGATTTCTCGCTTTCTGTCTCTCTCTTTCTCTGTCTGGCGAGCGCATGTGCCCTATAGCAAAAATCTCTCCCTCCCCCGAAAAAAAAAAATAGCAGTACAGACAACAAAGTGACTTTATGATTTTAAAAACAGATTTTACCCATAATTCACATTTTCCTTTAAGAAACCACTAGCAGGATCCTTGATGTAAACTGTTCAATTGGGCCCTACTTCTTTTTTTTTTTTCAAGGTTTTTGCCATAGGGCAAGTGTGCTCGCCAGAGAGACAGAGGGAAAGTGAGAAATCACTGCCTATGGGGAATGACCATGCTTCAGTCCCTTTTCCCCCACTCTCCTCCTGGGATGCTGGGCACACACACACACACATGCACCTGGCACTATTTTCAAGCTACTGGGTCTGGGAGTTGACCTACAGTCGGTCATGCGGGAGTCCAGTGCCTTAACCACCACACCACCCGCTGGCCTCTGAGGCCCTACTTTGAAGCTCCTGGCATTATAACTTGGAACAGAGATAGGAAAATGTGAAACAATGAAGTAAGCACTTCTCTATTCCCAGCTCGTTGTCTGGTATGTAACCACAGCCCTCCTTTCCCTTCTCTTTGAAGAACCACGAGGTATCAGAACGAGTAAGCTGTCGGCTGCCGGGATGCTAGTGACGAGAACAAACTTGGCCACAGACATTCCCATTCCGCGTGTTCTCAGGAACAGCTAATTCCCAAGGCACTGATTCTGTTGGTTTATCAAATACATACTTTATACAAAGTTTAGAGAAACTGTGATGTATTTCTGAAATTTTTCAGGTTTGTCAACCACCCAGAGTCCAAAAATTAATGGAAAGAAAGAAGAAATCAAATTCTCTACAGCTATTTCCACTTAACACTATCCAAATACCTGGACCCAGAAGTTTTACAAATTTCAGTTTTTTTCAGATTTTAAAACAGCTGCATATATACTTACATAATGAGATATTTTAGGGTGGGGACTCAAATTTAAAGACAAAATGTCTTTTTGGTTTACATACACCATAGACGCACAATATGAAGGTAACTTTATATAATATCTTTATATCACAGCACTTTGACCTTGACCCAGCACATAAGGCCAGACATGGAATTTTCCACTTACGACATCATGCTGACTCTCAAAAAGTTTCAGATTTTAGAGCATTTTGGATATCGGACTTTTGGGTTAGGGATGCTCAACCTATATTTATTACATGCCAGACATTGGTCTTATTATATTCAAATATTAACTAATTCAATACTCACCAATGACAACAGGTAGTGAGTGCTATTCTTAACACCACATTAGAGATGAGAAAACAGTCCAAGGCCATAGAGCAGGTGTGTGGTCAGGCCCAGACTTGAACTCTGATAGTCAAGACTACAGAGCACCTGTGCTCAGCCACTACCTATGCTTTCTCACATACAGAAGCATCAAGCAGAGTCATTATTGGTCATCATGGTGTCATGACCAACTTAAAATCTGCTGGCTTCAGAAATCTGCCCTTCTTGCCCACCTGCCTCCCTTGAACACACTACAAGAAAACCAGTAGCAACGCCTTTCACACCCATCACATACAAGGCATACCTGACCTCATTTGGTCTTCACAAACAACCACTGTGAAGGGCTGGGTCTTGAATATAATCTTTATTTCACAACCAGGCTCAAAGAAGTTGAAGAATTTGCTACAAACCACAGAGTGGGTGGCAGGGCTGGGCTCCTATCCCAGCTTCTGGATTCCCATTCTGGAGCTCGTTCTCCTACATGTGCTATAAACCCAGGGCAGCCCAGCAAACTCTCCAGGACAGAGCAGGGTCCTGGTGGTTTCCCTTTAGAAATCAATACTCGGGAAACACACACAGGAAATGCTCTTCTCTCCCCATCAGGGTATCCTCACACTGGTCTATCTGGTCTAGCCAGGTCTGTGTGTGACAGTACACTGGACTGGGGGTTGGGGGAGAAGCAAGAACCAAACAGGGCTGGGTGGTGCCAAGACCCCCTTGCCTTTAAGCAAGTCAGAGGAGACATGGGTAGGCAGAAAGATCCAGGCACCATAGTTGCCTAGGGTTCTACCGTTCAGGGGATTGCTAAAACTGAGGTTGGGTATGCCCATCCCAACCAATCTGCTGAGGATGAACCTCTGCTAAACCTGGACCTCCACAGCCCCGGGATATGGCTGCAATGCCCCTGAGGATGCAGCTCGGCCCATCAATCTCCCCTGGTCCAAATGACTTGGAGTAGGACAGGTCAGTTTGGGTTGTGCTGTGGTATACCCATCCCTCCAGAGAAGAAGGCTACTAGCTACAGGGGAGAGAGACCAAACTGAGCCTCTACCTTTGTCTGACAGAAATTCTCATTCGGAAAAAGAAGTAGCCCAGTTCTGGGATAATACTTGAAATTTAACAAAGGGAACAGCATGAGCACTTAGGAAGACCCCAGGGAGCAAGAGGCCACTGCCCCACAGATGCTCTCCCTTTGCCATCTGGACTGAGGGGAGGTGGGAAGGGGAACAGCGTGAGAGTAACAGGGATTGCTGGAGTCACTATTGACCACAGTCCAGAATCCTTGGCACAGGAATATTAAAAAATATAATAACATTTTAAAACATGGAATTTTTATTTAAAAATTGTATAGATTAAATATGTATTTTCTCCTGTACATTCAATAATTACTTCAATTTTTAAAAAGCAACAAAGAAACTCCAACTTGGTACAGAACTGGAGGTTAAGTGAAAGCAATCAATCCATGTGGACCATCAGGTGACACGTGGTTAAGGCACTAGATTCCCACATGGCCAATCTAGGTTGAAGTCCCAAACCTGACAGCTTGAAAATCACACCAGGTGCGTGTACATGTGTGCCCAAAATCCCAGGAGGAGAATAAAGAAGGAATTGTGGCATGATTTCTTGCCTTCTCTCTCTCACTATCTCTCTCTGGTAAGCACATATGCCCGAGTGGATGGTAAAAAGGGGAAGGAGCAGAAGGCGGTCCAGTTGAAAAGGGGGGCTACTACAGAGGACTGGTCACTAGTCAGGGGTCTGAAGCAGGTGGTGGGAGCCCAGTTCTGGGATAATACTTGAAATTTAACAAAGGGAACAGCATGAGCACTTAGGAAGACCCCAGGGAGCAAGAGGCCACTGCCCCACAGATGCTCTCCCTTTGCCATCTGGACTGAGGGGAGGTGGGAAGGGGAACAGCGTGAGAGTAACAGGGATTGCTGGAGTCACTATTGACCACAGTCCAGAATCCTTGGCACAGGAATATTAAAAAATATAATAACATTTTAAAACATGGAATTTTTATTTAAAAATTGTATAGATTAAATATGTATTTTCTCCTGTACATTCAATAATTACTTCAATTTTTAAAAAGCAACAAAGAAACTCCAACTTGGTACAGAACTGGAGGTTAAGTGAAAGCAATCAATCCATGTGGACCATCAGGTGACACGTGGTTAAGGCACTAGATTCCCACATGGCCAATCTAGGTTGAAGTCCCAAACCTGACAGCTTGAAAATCACACCAGGTGCGTGTACATGTGTGCCCAAAATCCCAGGAGGAGAATAAAGAAGGAATTGTGGCATGATTTCTTGCCTTCTCTCTCTCACTATCTCTCTCTGGTAAGCACATATGCCCGAGTGGATGGTAAAAAGGGGAAGGAGCAGAAGGCGGTCCAGTTGAAAAGGGGGGCTACTACAGAGGACTGGTCACTAGTCAGGGGTCTGAAGCAGGTGGTGGGAGCACCGCCTCATTTCAGGAACACTTCAGCTGAGCAGAGAATACAGATGGAACGGAGAAGCCAGAGTGCAGGCCAGAAGTGAGTGCAGGCACAAGGTCACATGGAGCCAGAGGAGGAAGAGAAGAGAGTCAGTGAGAAAGGACAGAGCTGATGCGATTAAGGACACTGAGAGGAAAGAAGAAAGGGTCAAGAGTTACCTCAAGTCTCAAAACGAAGTAAATGCAGGTCCCATTCTAGAGTCAAGAAACTAGCAAAGACCATCTATTCACTGAGCAGTCTGGGAGGGCAACGGCAACCGCCACCCCCATCTTACCCACCTTGGTGTCACGCACCCTGGAAACCATTTATAACAATGATCATAGGCAGAAAATGACAAACCACCCTTCCATCTCCCCCTACCTCCATGAACAGGGGCTAAAGACAACAACTTCAGGGCCTCCTACTTCTCTACCTATTATGGGCTTTTTGTGTTCTCCCCAAAACTCTTACACTGAAACCCTACCCCCAGCACCTCAGAATGTGACTGTACTCAGATCCAGGGCTTTTAAAGAAGCGATTAAGTTAAAAAGACATCCTTAGGGAAGGCCCCATTCCAATGACTGGTGTCCTCGAAAGAAGAAATTAGAGCATAGACACAGAAGGAAGACCATGTAGACGTAGGGAGAAGGCGGCCACCTACAAGCCAGGAGGAAGGCCTTAGAAAGAACCAACCAGTTGACACCTTGATCTCTGACTTCCAGCCTCAAGAGTGGTGAGAAAACCAAGTTCCGTCAGGTAAACCACCCAGTCTGTGGGACTTTGCCACAATGGCCCGAGCAAACCCACACACTCCCCGTTCTCACTCACACTTGAGTGTTGTGATGGCAACCTTTGGGTACAAAGAATAAAAAACACCCAACACTTTCTTGTTCTAGAAGCATTTTGTTTACAAAGTCTTGGGTGAACTCACCTGGCTACACACAGACCCCACATTAGCTATGTAAATTACTACCATTTCCTGGAGCTCACCTGTGGCAGACCTTAAATACTCCTATATTCCACACTCACAGCAGGGCTCTACAGTGAGGGTTAGGATCAGGCTAACTAAAGGCCACAAGGGTAATAAATTCACCCAGAGAAAGAGTGACAGATTTGGGGTCTGAAGGCAGGCTCTGGCCAGATGGCAGTCAGTCATTGCTCACTGACACTTTTCCTATGCTTCTGACTCTAGAGACGAGGCCCGGGGCAAGCAGATGGAGACGGCAGTAGGATGGCGCCCCAGAGAGGACATACTTTCTTTTCCAGCACGGACAAGATAGAGAAGTCAGTGAGAGCTGGTTCCCTTGTGCTTAATTTATCCTTTGCCTCCTATCCCTGCACTCCCTGCTTTACTACCCGATCACTCCTGTATCAAAACCCTCCGATCTCCAACATGGTTTTCCATGCCTGTTACTGGCTCTTCTAAACCACTAGCACTCCTACACTCAAACCCCGCCAGTCACTTCCAATCTTACCCAGAGTAAAATCCAAACGAGACCCACAAGGCCCTGCATGATCTGCCCTCCCTCTCCACGCCAACTCTCGGAACTTCGCTCCTAATACCCTCTCTCTTGTCAGGCCTTCCAAGCCACCTTGCTTTTTCTATTTCCAGAATCCACCAAAGACATCGGGTGCGCGTGCTGTTCTCTCTGATCCGTCACTTCCTGTAGGTTTCTGTTCAAACGCACCTTTACAGAAAGGCCATCTCTGAATATCCTCTCAAAAAGGACACTCTTCCCACCATTAACCTCCTTGCCCCTGACACTCCTTGCTTTTCTCCACAGCACTTAGCTCTGTGTCACGCTGACAGTCACACTCATGTGTCTGCTGACTGCCTCTCCCTGCTGGGATGCGAGCTCCATGACAGCGTCCTGGTTTTTTTCTTTATTTCTTTTTTAAATAATTGTTTTTTATCTTAACTTTATTTCTTTTCATTTGACCAGAGAGGAACAGAGAGAGAGCGAGAGACAGAAGGCAAGCCGCCAGGTCCAGGACTCAAACCACGGTCAGCCATGTGGGAGTCCAGCACCCTTAACCACCCCGACACCTGCTGGTCCCACGTCCTTTCTGTTGTTGCTGCACCATCTCCAAGGCCCAGGCCAGTGTTTGGCACAGAACAGATGCTCATCAGAGTACAGATGAATGGATGGAAAATGGACAAGTACCAGAAACTGTAACAGTGCATACAGTAAAGACATTAACATTTACTCTGAGAGGCTGGCAAAGAAGCTACTATGAAATAGCTTAAAGTAGAGGGTCATGAAGAGAACCAAGAAAGGCTAGTCTGAGTTTCAGGGGAGGGCTCACGAAAACAGGGTTGCTGTGCTTTATACGGACAAGCACGTAGTGTCACGTTACCCAGCAGGTGGGGAGAGGCGGTACAAGATGGACTACATGACCTTGAGACACGGGAGACACACCAATCAGTCTGGAGCTCTAAGGCTTGCACACCTCTGGATCACAGTGGGAAGTCACACATTCATTCTACCACAGAAAAGGCAGAACGCTCAGGCCAGAGGACGTGTCCAAATAAAATCACCTTAGCTCTTCATGTCAACTTTAAAGGTAAAAACTGAATACTTACCGTTCTGGGTTCAAAGGTATACAGAGCTCTGAAGACTTTTACTTGACCTAGGAAAAGAGGAAAAACAACACCCAATCAATTCTCCCATTTCTGATTTTGCTCTAAATAGCATTATCTGTGATATCCTTCAGAATCCAATTAAAATCCCATGTGAAAAAGATACTTCTGAACTAAATACCTCTTCTGCATAGGAGGTATTTTTAAATATTTGTAAAATGAATGCAAGAATAAACACACACCTCCAAGATATGACTTTGCTTCCTCCTACAGTCACTTGAACTTAGCCTGTTTTACATAAAATACCTCCAATGCTAAGGTCTAAGCTTAGAAATTAAAATGTGAGCTTTTTTTTTTTTTTAAAGGTTATTGCAATTAGGGCATGTGCATTCACCGGAGAGACAGAGACAAAGAGAGGGAAAGTAAGAAATCAACCCCCAGAGGGGATGGCCCTGTCGTAATCCCTTCTCCTCCATTCTCCTCTCAGGATTTTGGGAAAGCACACACATGTACTCAGCATGATTTTCAAGCCACCAGATCTAGGACTCGAACCGTAGTCAGCCATATGGGAATCCAGTGCTTTCACCACCATGCCCACCCACTGGCCCCAAAATGTGAGCACCTTAACATAAAGAAATACTTCATGTGACTGACAATCTGTACTGGTTCAATATTCTTAAATCAGTGAGTGAGATGTATATATTTTCCAAAAGAAAAGATAATACCATGGAGCAAAATAAAAGACCCGTTGGAGAGCACCGATTCCATGAAGTGCCAGAATAGAGAAGACAGTGCGACCACTAGCAACAAGGAGGTCACATTCGAGAGAGTTCGCTCCAGTCTGCTGAGCAATGTCTGTCCCTATGCTCCTCCACTGCATTCCCATAATACTCTGTATCATCATTACTGCTGTTGGCCTGTCTCATTTGAAGGCAGGAACCCCAGCATATGTAATTTCCCAGCAAGCACCTGCCCGGCGCATAATACAAATTTAATAAATGTTTGCAAAGTGAATACATCAGGAAAAGAACAAACTGAAACAGTATCAGAAAAAGTCTACAGAAAGAAAGCAAAAAAAAAAAAATGTCTGTTGAGACCAGTAGGTGGTGTAATGGTTATGTCACTGGACTGCCACCTGGTCGACCTTTCTTTGAATCTCGGGCCTGGCAACTTGAAACTCACGCTGGGCGCGTGGACACGAGTGCCCAAAATTCCAAGAGGAGAATGGAAGAGAAGGGACTGCAGTGTGGCCATCCCCAGGTGGAGCGATTTCTCAATTTCTGTCTATCTCTTTGGCGAGTGTATGCACCCTATAGCAAAAAAATAACAACAGAAAAACTCTCTTACAAAAAAAGAAGAAAAAAGTCTGTTTATGAAATAGATTTAGACTGGAAACCAAAATAGAAACTCTATCCATTTAAAAGGTGACGGTTCAGCTTCAGCACTGGAGGAAGCATTAGGAAGAGCAATCTAGGACAAGGACATCAGTCAGAACCGTGGCCTCTAAGGTGGGATACGACTGAGTCACTGGGAAAGTCGTAACACATTTTTGCATAGAAAATCAGAAAAATATGCCATGACTTTGCCAAAGACCTAGTAGAAGGCTTCTGAAGAAATTATTTACTTTTTTCATTCATAGTTGAGCATATTTCATAATATAACAACTACTAAAGTACAAGGGAACGTGAAAAAGTACAAGTCTATTCTGGTGCAAAAACATCTAAGAGGTCAGCAGGTGGCATGGTGGTTAAAGCACTGAACTCCTCCATGGCCAACCACAGGCAGAGTCCTGGATCCAGTGGCTTAAAACTCACACCATGTGTGCATGTGTGCATGCCCAAAATCCCAAGAGGAGAATGGAGGAGAAGGGATGTAGCATGGCCATCCCTCCTGGGGGGTGATTTCTCACTTTCCCTCCATCCTTCTCTCTTCAACAAATGTACACACCCTGTGGCAAAAAACTATCAAAAAAAATTAAAATTGATGCATAGTTTTTATAATATGCATTTTTCCATAAACTTCTTGAAGTCTTTCTCCAACATATACATTTATCATAAGTGAATCCTCAAAACCTTTTGCTGACAGAATACAAGCATTGTGAAGACAGGTTTTTCTATTGACTACTGAATGAGATCTCCAAGTACCCAGCACAATGCCTGGCACATAGGAGGCACTCAGTAGTTATTTGTTGAATGAATGAAGAATGGATGAAAAAAGGAATGAATGGAATCATGTACTCAAAAAAGTCTTAAAGCCAGTAGTTTAGAATAGCACTGTCTACTACAGCTTCATACAATGACAGAAAAGTTCTGCTTTTGTTTAGTCACATGTGGCTACTATGCACATAAAAAATGGTTTATACAAACCAGGAACTGATTTTTGTAAGAGAGATTTTTGCTATAGGACACATGTACTCACTGGAGACACAGAGAAACAGAAAGCAAGAAATCACCCCCCCCATGGGGGTTGCTCACACCACATCCCTTCTCCTCTATTCACCTCTTGGGATTTTAGGCACAAATGCACACGTGCCTGGTGTGAGTTTTAAGCCATTGGGTTTGGGACTTGAAGCATAGTCAACTATGTGGGAGTCCTAATGGTCCCAGATTTTTATTTAAGAGAGATTTTTGCTATAGGGCACGTGTGCTCACTGGAGAGACAGAGACAGAAAGTGAGAAATCACACCTGAGGGGATGGCCACATCACCATCGCTTCTCCTCCATTCTCTTCTTGGGAATTTGGGCATGCACACACACGCACCTGGTCTGAGTTTTAGGCCACTGGATCTCAGACTCAAACCACAATCGACTACGTGGGAGTTCAGCAACATAACCATTACACCATCTCCTGGTCCCCCAGGAACTGAATTTTAATATTATTTAATCTTAAAGGAGTTAAACTGTCATACCTGGCTGGTTTTTGAAAGATGCTGGTTTAAAGTATCAAGCAATGGGAAATGACTAATGTCCAGTAAGAGGGGACTATATAAATCAGCTCTGATTCATCCACGTGACGGAGTTGTTTTAAAAAAGGAATGCAACATGGCATTCACAATAGCCAAGACATGGAATCAGCCCAAGTTCCATCAAGGATAAATGGATAAATAATATGGGATGTACATAGTGCGATTCCATTCAGCCTTCACGGGACGGAAATACTATCATTTATAACAACATAGATGAACCTGGAGGACATATGTGAATGAAATTAGCCAGGTCAGAGAAACAACTACTGCACAATCTCACATGTGGAATTGAAAAACGTTGAATTCACAGAAACAGAATAAAATGGTGGTTACCAAAGACTGGAAGATGACAGACCTGCAGCCATGTTGGTTAAGGGACATGCAACTTCAGTTAAAAGAAATAAATTTGAGAAATCTATTGTACAACATGGGGAATACAGTTAATAACAATATAAGGTATACTTGAAAATTCCTAAGAGTAGATTTTAAGTGTTCTCATCACAACAAAGTTAAATATATACAATACATATTAATTAACTTGATGTAGCCATTCCACATTGTGTGTATACATATATGCATGCGTGTGTATCTAGATAGATAGATAGATAAATCAAAACACTATGTATGACACATATATATATAAAACAATATATAATGACACATATATGTATCAAAACACTATGATGACCATCATTAATATATACTATTTTTACTTCTCAAAAAAAAAAAAGAGAGAGAGAAATGCTATAGACATATCCATAAATATTGATGTAAGAAAAAGAGCCTGCAAAAATATTCAGTAAAAATATGCAGGTTAGGGACCAGCAGATGGCATAATGGTTATATTGCTGGACTCCTACATAGTCAAATGTAGTTCAAGTCCCAGACCTGGAGGCTTAAAACTCACACCAGGTGGTGCCATGTGTGTGCACATGCCCAAAATCCTGGGAGGAGAGTGGAGGAGAAGAGACTGCAGTGTGGCCATCCCCCTTGAAGGGGTGATTTCTCACTTTTTATCTCTGTCTGTCTCTGTCTCTCTGGTGAGCGCACACACCCTGTAACAAAAACCTCTAAAAAAAAATCAAAGAAATTCAGGTTGTAGGGTAGTATGCTTAGTACTATCCCACTTACGTTAGCAACACACACTCATACATATACCTTGACTGAGAGCTCCAGTTATAGGGCCCTTCATGTTCTATTTTAAATTACTGTTTGCATTAATTACTTTTTTAAGGATTATTTATTTAATTGTATTTATAATTATTATTTAATTTGACCAAAGAGAGACAGAGAGAGAGAGGGAAAGTGAGAAAGCAAGCCGCCAGGTCTAGGACTGGAACCACGATTGGCAATGTGGGAGTCTCCAGTGTCTTAACGACCATATCACCTGCTGGCCCCTGCATGCATCATTTTCATAATCAATAGAAAAATAATGATGTTTCAAACCAGCAGATGGTGTAATGGCTACGTCGCTGGATTCTCATGTAGTCAACCACAGTTCAAGTCCCAGACCCGGTGGCTTAAACTCAGGCCGGGCACGTGTGCGTGCCTGCCCAAGATCCTGAGAGGAAAATGGAGGAGAAGGGATTGTGGCATGGCCATTCCCCCTGGGGGGTGATTTCTCGCTTTCTGTCTTTCTGGCAAGCACATGCGCCCTATAGCCAAAACCTTTCCAAGATAAATAAATAAATAATGATGTTTTCACTTGAGTGAAGGAGAGGAAGAATGGTTTCTTTGAACTATAGAAGAGCAACTCAGATCCCCCATTACTTAGTGTGTCTACAGGAAAACACTCTGCAATCTGAATTTTAGTGCCCTCTCACTCCTGCTCTACCAGGGGAGAGAAATAGGAAGAAGCATGAGGGGAAAGCATTTCTGTTGCAGTCTAGAAATTGTTTCTTCATCCACACACAAACATCCCAGACAAAGGACACTTCGCATAGGAGGAGCTGCCAAGAGAAAGATCTTCTGCTGACGTGACTGTTTCTCTGAGTGGAGAACTTAGTTATCTTGATTACTCTGAGCTTTCTGAAGAGAAGTCAAATGAGGAAACAGTCCCCTTGTGATCAAAATCAATAATGATAG